ATCAGATTTTTTTTTCTGAAAGTGGTGTGCAGCTATCATTTGTATACCACTTGCCATTGCTTCCTCCTTAATATATACAGAGGAAAAATAATTATTTAAAATGTCTGTCTTTTCCTGGTCTTCATTTGCCAACACATCAATCTCTCATTTTGGTGCACCTACATATTCATTGTTTGTTTTTGAATGTATGTACTTAAAATGTTTTGGGGTTTTTTTTTTTCTCTTTATCATTTTCTAGTTTAGCCTTTCAAATCATCTTTTTGCATGCATTATTGGCAGTCTTATATCTTATATAGGATGCCTGTGATTTGTCTGATAAATACGTTAAGTGTCATTTTCTTATTTTTAATTTATTGGTTTACCTTCTCTCTAAGCCACATTGGTTTCAATTTGTTTCTTTTTTATTAATTACCCAATGGTATATACTGCGAAGTGTACATTTCTAATATTTGTATGAAAATATTCCGTTTATGCCAGTCAATGAGTTGGAGAGCTGCCCTTATTTTATTTAAATTGGCCTTTTAAAATTATAGGTTTAGTCTATCCCATGTGCATTTGCCTTTTTGAGTTTATTTCAAAAACACCATATTGTGATCACTTTTTCCCAAGTGCTTCCTTAATATTTGACAAAATCAATTAACATTGTTATAAACAACAATAAAACAAGTGAACAGTGCAAAGTAGCAGAAAAAACATAAATTATCAATCATATATACCATGTGCATTCGGTGGGAAAATGTTAGATATAAGTATACCCTGTTTGGAGAGCGTGTGTTCCTGAAATATAGAAAAAAAACTCTCATAGGGTAATACAGCATGGTTTTGCTTAAAACTGATCATTGTGGTAATAGTTAGTATCACACTAACATTTTAATGAGCCTGTTCCTTTACCTGGCTAAGGTAAATAGGAGAGTGATACTGGGGGTTGGATACAGGGCAGCAGCAGCTCTTTCTTCAGAGACTTTTTTTTACAGTAAAATACCGTATTTTTCGCTCCATAAGACGCACTTTTTTCCCCCTCAAAAGTGAGGGGAAATGTCTGTGTGTCTTATGGAGCGAATGTGAAGAATTACTTACCTGTCTTGGAGCGTGGGCCGGCTTCACAGCGCGCTCCGCGGCCAGGAACTTCTATTTCAGGTTCCGGTTCCGGTTCAGGTTCCGTATTTTTCGCTCCATAAGACGCACTTTTTTCCCCCTCAAAAGTGAGGGGAAATGTCTGTGTGTCTTATGGAGCGAATGTGAAGAATTACTTACCTGTCTTGGAGCGTGGGCCGGCTTCACAGCGCGCTCCGCGGCCAGGAACTTCTATTTCAGGTTCCGGTTTCCGGCGGGACTGAAAGGAAGTGCACACTCAGTGTGCACACTTCCTTTCAGTCCCGCCGGAAACCGGAACCTGAAATAGAAGTTCCTGCACCGAGGAGCGCGCTGTGAAGCCGGCCCACGCTCCAAGACAGGTAAGTAATTATAGGACAAGGGGAGGGGGACACTATGGGAGAAAGGGAGGGGAGACACTATGGGACAAGGGGAGGGGGACACTATGGGAGAAAGGGAGGGGAGACACTATGGGAGAAGGGGAGGGGGGACACTATGGGAGAAGGGGAGGGGAGGAGACACTATGGGACAAGGGGAGGGGAGGAGACACTATGGGACAAGGGGAGGGGGACACTATGGGAGAAAGGGAGGGGAGACACTATGGGACAAGGGGTGGGGGGGACACTATGGGACAAGGGGAGGGGGAGACACTATGGGACAAGGGCAGGGGGGGACACTATGGGAGGGAAAGTGCACTATGGGACAATGGGAGGGAGGGACACTATGGGATCAGAACACTAATGGACAAGGGGAGGAGGGGTTAAAGAACACTATGGGACAGGGTAGGAGGGGTTAACAATCACTATGGGACAGGGTAGGAGGGGTTAACAATCACTATGGGACAGGGTAGGAGGGGTTAACAATCACTATGGGACAGAGGAAAGGGGGGTTAAAGATCATTATGGGACAGGGGAGAAAAAAAAATATTCTGAACAAACTGTCCCATGGTAAAAAACACTATGGAACAGTTTGTTCAGAATATTTTTTTTTCTGGGTTTCCTCCTCTAAAAACTAGGTGCGTCTTATGGTGAGGTGCGTCTTATGGAGCGAAAAATACGGTACTTTGTACTGACTAGCATAAGTAATAAAGGTGGCAGAAAAACTGACTCCAATCAATACAAATATATATTTACCCATGATTTTAACAAACAGGCATTTTGCAACAGATATAAATCCATCAGTTTGTTTAATAAGAGATTGTGTTAAAAAAAAAAAATCGCATATGCGTGATTATATTGTAGATAGAGATTCATTGGTAGATCAAACAATAGTGTCAGTAGTGGAGTCAAGTAAAGTATCTAGCTCTTTATCCAAAGTGCTTTAAAAATGTAAGAATTAATTATGTAGGATTACAGACAGGGAGATTTAAATTATATCATTAGGCAGAATGGGACAAAAGATATAGACCTCTGCCAATGAACATTTACACAAAAATGTGTAGCATTTTATACAAAGTGTTATCCAAGACACTCAGTGACCTTACACTCTATAGGCACAGCATAGATTGAAACAAAACACAATGGAGGGGCAATACAGTTAACTGAATGAAAACATGTAGGGAAAACTAATAACACAAACAAATTTATAGAAACAAATGACTGTTAACGTAATGGTTTGCAATAATGCTGTCTAACAATGAGTGAATGTCCATACCTTTTTACTGGTAGGCATCACCCACTGTGAACTTTGCACAGATTTATCAATAGATCAAAATAGACACCTGGTGGAATATGATGCTATATTGGTGTTACACCTTTAATTGACATGTAAAGTAGTGTAGACGAGAAGAAGTTTAGGACTGTGTTGCAAGAATCATAAATTGAAAATAATACTGAAGAAATGCAAATAGCTTAAATGACAATTAGAATTGTTTGCGCATAATTAGCATTTTTTTCCGTAATGGACACCAGTAGCCGAAGAAGAAGCTGGGGACCATGTCTTCTACATGTGCATATCAGCCCCCTCCCTGTAGAGAAGGCAGAATTTCTTGAGACTTATACACAGATTGTAAGACAAAGTCTTGATGCTAGGATCTCAGAAGACTGTAACAACTACATCTCAAAAATCCAGTGAAAGTGGCATGTTCTGCTTCATATCATAAATCAGGTATAATGACCTATAGGCCATATGTTCTTACATATGTAGCCACTAGACCTCTTCATGTAAAAACAATCATGCTCCAAATTATTGAAAAAATAATCAAAAAACAATAAATGGGCATACTATCTAAAACAACATATAAATAAACATTACACCTCTATAATAAAGCGAATGGCAATAAAGCAAATGACACTCAATTTTTTCAGACCTGTTATATCAGCTAGAAATAAAAATAACAATAACAAATAATGGTGCATTATATATAAACACCAAAACTGTGCTGGAGGTTAAAATGCACTCACAAGTTGATAACTGATTGCAAGCATATAAGTAATCTATAAGTTGAAAGGAGCTCGATCCTCTTCTCTCTTGACCTTAAATAGGGGTTAAAAGAGAGACACAGACATAGTGCACCACTAACATAACTTCATAAGTATTTATTTAGATTGCATTCATAGAATCAATGTGTGAATCCAGCATATCACAATACCAATCCTTACGGACCACAGACTTGGAGGGAATCCCTTAGGGTCTGGAACAAGTTGTGAAGTAGCCAAAAAACATACACAAACAAAAAACAGTAAAAACAAAGGTATGCGTTTCGTCCTAGGTCGGACTTCATCAGGGGTAATTGAAGATGTGACTTGATCTCCTCCATTCACAATTTAAAGGTGATTTTGTGCCTTTCCGCCATGCCTGCAGCCAATCGGAATGTGATATTGAAGTTCTATTCCCCTGTGTTCCCTATTTCCCATAGTTGCTTTCCACGACTCTTAACAATACGTGTCACTGAGGAGACATCCGGTATCGCGTGGAAAGAGCACACGTGCTCACCAAAAGTGGGTAAGAAGTATATAAAATAAAATTTACCCTTGTAATACAATAGATTGCAAGAAGAATGGTGAGTTTTATTTACAGGTTCAAGGTAACGTCATGGGCACCAAGTTTGTGCCTAGTTATGCAAACATTTTCACGGATAACTGGGAGACTTTCAGCATTTGGAATAACAATCCTTTGAGCGTGAACTTGGTGCTCTGGCGGAGATACATAGACAACATTTGAATCATCTGGAAAGGCTCAGTGGATTTATTACAAAAAATTTTTATCTTTATTAATGATAATGATCAGCCCCTATTTTTTACTCCAGAAATTAACTTTCTTGATTTAACAATTTATATAGAGGACTAGATTATTAAAACTAAGACGTATTTTAAGCCAACTGACTCTAATTTTTTCATTGATACAAAAAGCGCACACCATCCTAACTGTCTATGCTGTGTTCCTCGTAGCCAGTTTACTAGATTAAAAATAAATTGCACTGATGAAGGATGTTTCTTGGAACAATTGGAAATTTAAAAAAAGAAATTTATCGAAAAAGGATATTCTCCTTCTTTTTTGGATCAAGAAATAGGTAGATGTAAAAATTTTAATAGCAACGATTTTTTTTATGGTCAAAAATAAAATGAAAACTAACCCCAATGGAAATTTTAGTTTGTCTTTTATCACTCAACATAACGCCCATGCTTTTAAGATTAAAAAGGTCCTACAAAAACATTCGCCCCTTTTTACTGGAGGATGGATTCTTAAGCAATCAAATTCCAACAATCCCTAAGATGATTTTTAGAAAAAGTTGAGTTTTTAAGAATTGACTAGCTCCAAGTACCTTTAGAACCAGAGATTCTAGTGATACAACTCTTAAAGGCTTTTATAAGTGTGGAAGATGTAAAGGCTGTAAGTTTTTACCAAAAAAAGTCTGAATTTTAAGAGTAAACAAAGTTGTATATTAGTTGTAACAGCACCAATGTAGTCTATTTATTAACATGTGGGTGCGGTATTCAATATGTGGGCAGGACGAGTAGAGCTCTGAAAATTAGATTTATGGAGCATTGTAACAATATAAAGAATAAAATTAAAACTCACTCAGTCCCTGTTCACCGCAATAAATGTCCATATTTTAAGTTTGATACATTTTTATGCACAGGTGTAGAGAAGAACAGGCCTGCACATATTCTTTAACATCTTTCCTGAGAGAATCCCACCAAAATTATCTCATGATCACGGATAAGGATGTGTGTCCAGCAGTCACGTTGTTGTGGAACACCTTCATGACATTTTCCCTTACACCCAATGGAACACACTATTTATCCTGTGGTTTATAGCAACGAGGTGCTAATGACATAGCCATACAACTGGTTCTATTTCTGGTAGTTTCTCTGGTTCTAAGTCTATTATCAATTTGCATGACAAATGTGATAAACTTATTTGATTTTTTTGGTAGATTTTTGGCAGCAATCTTGTCCAGAATTGCTTTGGATAATCCTTTTTTAAATGCAGAGATTAACCCGCTATTAGTCCAGTTTACCTCAAGGTGCGAAATTCTATGGCATAATCTGAGATAGACCAGTTCCCTTGTTTGATATGCATTAGGGCAGTAGAGGTGTCATGCTCCATACCTAATGGTTTGAATGTTAATTACCAGGAATTCCTTGTGGAATTCAGATTATGTGCAATACTCCTATTACTCTCCCATAATGGATTGGCCAAAGCTAAGGTTTTACCTTTAAGTTGATTCATTAGGTAACCAATCTTAGCTCTATCTGATGGAACAGATCCCGGTGAGGCCTCAAAATAATACTCAATTTGATTCAGAAATCCCTGGCATTCATGAATATTACCATCAAAATGTGGGAGAGGAGATAGGGAGATACATAGAGATGCACACATACACAGGTACAGACATACATAGAGAGATACACAGACACACAAGTGCATACACAGACACACATGCAGATCCACACTTACACACTGACACACCTACCTACACTGATGCACAGATACACTCACTGCCAAACATGCAGATGAACAGAAACATTAACACACAAACACACTGACATACATGCAGATACACACAATAACATACAGATACATACACGGACCCAGATGCAGATACACAGATACAGACACTGAAACATATACAGATACACAGACACACATGCAGCTACACATACACACAGAATGATACACGTTCAAAAACACAGACACACATTCAAAAACACAGACATGCAGACACACATACAAACAAACACACAGATATACATACAAACATATAGACATACACATATACAAACAGACACAGAGACACAAAGACACACATACGGACACACAGAAACACATCCTGATACACAGGGTCACATAGAGACACATGCAGATACAGAAAAAACACACACATACAAACAGACACACACATACACATACAAACAGACACACACATACATACATACAAACAGAGACAGACATACAAACAGATACACACATACAAACAGACATACATACATTCAAACAGACACATACAGACAGACACATACATACATACAGATACATACAGACAGACACACAGACACATACATACATACAGATAGACACATACATACAAACAGACACATACATAGATGTACATTTTTTATGTGTTTCCTACCTTTGGAGTGCAGGAGGCTGGCTCAGGCTGATGGGAGTCAGAACTCCCATTCTGGCTCCCTCCTTTTCTTCTCCTCCTTCCGCACAGCGCTCGGTAAATGCTGGGAGAAAGTGACTGACTGAAAATCCATCCCCTAAAAATCCATCACCATCGGGTGGCCCTTAGAGCAATGGCCACCCAATGAGCCTCCACATCACACTCCACAGCGGCCAGAGGGCTAAAGGGGCAGCTGCTTTGGGCCCCCTAAGACTGACTGGGCCCGGGGCAGCTGCCCCTTTTGCCCCGTGTTAAAGACGGCCCTGGGGCAATGAGGAAAAGTTAAATTGCGTTTAAATAAGCCATTTACAAATCTGATTGGCCGAAATCGGCCTTTGACCCCAGAACATGCGCGCATGTCTCCCGCGTGACGTCACACGCACGCCGACGTCGTCATAAACGTGGGCGGACCTGGGGCTATAATTTGGCGTGGATCTGCAGCGGCCGGCGTCCATCAACATGTTGCAGGAGTCAGGTATACAGACACATGGCCGCTGAGCGCAAATACTGCAAGTTGAGGATAAATATGTTACAGGTTGCCCTCAATAATAGAGGTGGTGATTTGATTAAGAAACTTAGACAGAGAGAGGGCTTTTGGATCTTTACGTTTAAGACCTTCATCGCTATAGGTCTTAATGTGGATTTCGACATGGTATGTTTTTTATGACCATTTTTTCATCATATTCATTTCCTTTATTAATTTTAATTTTCAATTTTTACTTTTATTTTTATTTCTATTTTTATTCTTATTTTTAATTTTATTTTTATTTATGTTAAATATTCATATTTTTACTTTTTTTTATTTTTGATTTATTACTTTTATACCATGAAGATTCAGATCCACATTTTTTACTTTGCCTCTGAGGGTTTTCCTTCTCCACTTTCTTTTGTTATATATCCTGTTTTAGACTCCTTTTTCACATGACTTTTTTTATATTCAACATGTTTCTGTATCGCATTTATATATTTTTAGCATTTGGCATTTTATGTCCTTTCCGGTTGTAATAAAATGTTTATTTACATTGGTTTAATAATATGTCTTTTTGCTATATTAATATAACCACTTTTTGTCTTTTATGTTTTTTATTTTATGTATTAGAACTTCGGCTCTTGTCATTCTAGTTTGAGCTAATGCTATGTTTCTATGTTTTTATTTAATTTTATTTCCCTATCTTTAAATGGATCATATCCCCTTTACGATGGTGGACTTATGAACCCAATCAACTTCCGGTTTGCTATTTGGAACACATGGAGCGTTCCACGCGATACCGGATGTCTTCTCAGTGACACGCATTCTTAAGAGGCATGGAACGCAAACATGGCAAATAGGGAATAGAACTTCAACATCACATTACGATTGGCTGCAGGCACGGTGGAAAGGCGCAAAATCACCTTTAAATTGTGAATGGAGGCGATCAAGTCACATCTTCAATTTTCCCCGATGAAGTCCGACCTAGGACGAAACGTGTAGGGCGGAGAGACTCATTCAGCACTTCAATTTGCTTTTACTCCTTTGTTTTTACTGTTTTTTTATTTGTGTATGTTTTTTGGCTACTTCACAACTTGTTCCAGACCCTAAGTGATTCCCTCCAAGTCTGTGGTCCCTAAGGACTGGTATTGTGATATGCTGGATTCACACATTGATTCTGTGAGTGTAATCTAAATAAATACTTATGAAGTTATTTTATTGCTGCACTATGTCTGTGTCTCTCTCTCAACCCCTATTTAAGGTCAAGAGAGTAGAAGATCGAGCTCCTTACATCTTATAGATTACTTATATGCCTGCAATCAGTTTTCATCTTGTGAGTGCATTTTAGCCTCCAGCACAGTTTTGGTGTTTTTATATACTGCACCATTATTTGTTATTTTTATTTCTAGATTGTATTTCTTACATTTCTATTTAAGAAGACCCAAGGGAGCTTCTTACAATCTATTATATTACAAGGGTAAATGTTATTTTATATACTTTTTACCCACTTTTGGTGAGCATGTGTGATATGTATATATATATATATATATATATATATATATATTTATTTATATACATTTGTACTGTTATAACAGCTGTTTTTTTTTTTTTTACTTTTAAAATATTTTATTGAATACAAATTATATTTTTAAATAATAGAGTTTATTTGTTAAGCTGGAACATTTATTTTATCTATTTTTTGGAAAAATGAATATGGAAACTGGCAACTCTTTTCAATGTCGCTTTTTTTCAGAAATTACTTGTCTGCTATCTGCAATTTTAATGGTTACATACTAGAGCTTCCTAGACAAGAAACTTACTTACTTACTTATGCCCTCCACCCCTCCCGGGGTATGGGCCGCCAAAGGTAGATCTCCAGATATTTTTGTCCTGGGCCATTCTTTCTAGTTGTGTTATGGGCAAATGCAAATATTGTATTCCTCAAACTGTGTACTTTCTCTTTAAGAGATATTGTAAACTGACAAGGTGTTAGAAATGGAACATATTGTTTTTCATATATGTTTTTTTAATCAATAACCTCTTACCTACTTTCAGTGCATAATATATTTATGCCAATTTGTCTTAGCTTAATACAAAACAAGTAATGCAAATATATCTTCAAGGCTATGCTACGTCATCCTGACTTACGCCATTTTGTCCTGGGATAATGGAAATTTAGCATTAACAATAAATAAGATGTCTAGGTCATGACAAACAATAAATAAGTTGTTCAGACTTTAGGATACCATCTTGTCCTAATTAGTGGGGTTGTGGTCCGGGAAAAATGGTTAAATGACTATTAACCAAGTTACTAGTTGCTACTTATTCCTATGGTACAGATGAGCATTAACAACATACCTGATGATACAAATGGTGAGACACCATGTGATATTTTTCACTGACAATCGTATTTCTGCACGAGGGAGAGCTTAGAACCATTGGTTCTATCAGAGAAAAAGAATTTCCAGCCCACCTCACCATGCACCACCACCTATTTCCTATCGTTGGTCAGTTTGTCCTGGAGAGGATGATTCCAAGAACTTTTTCTACAGAGAACAATCAGAGCCAACAGAGAACAGTAAGTTTTTATATTTTACAACCTGCTAAATACTTCCAAGATGTTCACAGAATCATTGACTGACACAATTAAAGAAGGCAAAATAAAACAAACAGAGGACAATAGAAATGCCACCAGAACACAGTCAACAGAATCATAGCCACGTAACAGACTGAATCATGATCTGACATCTGAACCTGCAAAAGTGAAGGAGAAGGATGAACAGACAGATGTGATACATTCACAGTTAACATAGAATATATGAAAAATTAATCATCAACATCATTATCAGAAAAACTCTGGAGAAAACACACTGTACCTGAATTATATTATATAGTAAGAAAGAAATGCAAAGATGCAAGCAAAAGGATGCTAGAAAATAGATTATGGTGTCTCCTTCTTACAATCTGCAGCATTATCAGAACATCAACCCTAGCTGTCGTTTTAAAACTTTAAATGGTCGGTCGTTCGGTA